ATGATATGGACAAATGGAAACACCAAAAACTCTCTATGCTGGGCAGAATATCAGCTATCAAGATGTCGATACTACCGAAGCTTCTATTCCTCTTCCAGACAATACCGATAATCAGAAACGCACAAATATTTAAGAATTGGAACAAAGAGATATCAAAATTCGTATGGTGTGAGAAAAAACCAAGAATCAAATACGAAAGTCTAATTGAAGACAAAGAAAAAGGTGGACTGGGACTACCAGACCTACAATTATATCACGATGCCAGTGGACTGAACTGGATTAAGGAATGGGCCAATTTAAATAATCAAAGCATCCTAACGCTAGAAGGGTACGACCTGCGCAGTGGGTGGCACGCGTACCTATGGTACAACAAGAAGAAAATTGAAAAAAACTTCGGTAACCACTTCATAAGGTCATCCCTAATTAAAATCTGGGAAAAGTATAAGAACAAGTTCTACCAAAAAACCCCTAAATGGATTTCCCCACTAGAGGCAACTCAAAGAAGAGAGCTAGGGTGGGAAAAATGGCCCAGATATAACGACATCTTAAAGAAAGACAGGGAAGGCCACAAACTCAAAACACTTGAAGAGATAAAATCCACATATGGGGAAATCACATGGTTCCAGCATAGACAATTAACAGAAGCATTCAACAAGGACAAGAAGGAAGGTTTTGAAGAGAACGGAAAACAATGGGAGAGAATAATGGCTACAAAGAGAAAAGGCATTACGAAAGTTTACAAAATACTATTAAACTGGAAATCAGATAAAAACAACATTGACAGCTACATTACAAAATGGGCAGTGACTTTGGGACATACCATAGATAAAACGGAATGGGAGAAAATATGGAAAGTAAAGCTAAGATGGATCAACTCTTACAGCCTCAGAGAGAACTGGATAAAGATGTTGTTTCAATGGTATCTAACACCAAATAAATTAGCTAAATATTATAAAAAAGTGGATGACAGGTGCTGGAAATGTAAGGAGAAAAAAGGTACCTTCCTACATCTTTGGTGGACATGTGAAAAGGTCAAAAAGTTTTGGTTGGAGGTACATCGAACAACAACCAACATATTGAAACTACAGATAGAAAAGAAGGCTGAATACTACTTACTAGGGATCCTGGACTTTGAGATCGATAAGAACACTGACAGATTGCTATTTCACATGGCTACGGCGGCTAGATTGGTGGTAGCAAGTAAATGGAAGAATGAAGAAATCCCAAAACTAGAGGATTGGAGACTAAAGCTAATGGATATAAGAAATATGGATATATTAACACAACACTTAAGAATAAAACAAAAGGCAAGTGAAAACAAAACGGACTGGTCTCCCATAAGAAAATACTTGGAGAATAATTAAAGATTTATCCAGAACAGGAAGAAAACAAGAAGAAGATAGAAGAAAAACCTAGAAGACAAGACAGCATATTTACTAATCAAACAAGGGGATATAATGAGTAAATATAAAAGAACTTAATATACTAACACACCTCACGTCCCACATCCCAACCACGTGCACTTCCCTCTCCCCAACCTCCCCTCACAGTCTTCCCGGAAAGGTTAGGGCAACCGACCCCCCCTCCAACTTTCCCTTTACCATCCCCATTCAAAAGGAAGGGGCTCATCCACCCCCCCAACCCATACCCCCAGCCCACCCCCCCATCCTTCCCCCCCCCCCGGTTTTTATTTTATTGTATATATTTCTTTATAGGATATATCGTTGATTAACATCTAACCGATGTATCGGTAGTGAAAACCTCAATAAAAATGATTTATAAAAAAAAAAAGGAAATGGGAACAGCTCTAAATGTGCAAAGGCACTCCTAGCCACCAAAGAATCCTGGGACTCCAGGTTCAGTGCTGACTCAGGAGGACCCCCAAACCATTGATCTGTGTCTTCAGGAGTTTCATGAATTTATCTATCTATTTATTTATTTATTTACTTCATTTCTCACTCGAAGGGACTCAAGATAACTTAAAATTCCAGCAAAAATTCAATGCCAGTAAAAACCAGTATTAACAATAAAAATTTAAACAATAAAAATGATGTATGTAAAACATACATCAGTATATAAAATTTTAAAAGCATATAAAGTACATAGTTCCATTCATCCATAACCCTACTCATAATCCTTAATCCAGACTGTATCGAAACCTTAGAAGCTTGTGCGCAGAGCCAAATCTTTAGCTTTTTCCTAAAACTCAAAAGGGATGGGGCCTGCCTGATGTAGTTGGAAAGGGAGTTCCACAACCAAGGGGCCACCACAGAGAAGGCCCTGTTTCTCATCCCCACCAGTCGCACTTGCGAAGAAGGTGAGACCAAGAGGAAGGCTTCCCCAGAAGATCTTAAAGTTCTAATAGGCTCATAAGAGGAGATGCGTTCAGACAAATAAGTTGGGCCATGAATACTTTTTCAACCTTAAAAATGTTCTTTAAACTATTTTCAGTGGGCGAGAGTACATGAGGCATTTTCAGAGAAAGAAGCAGAAACACAGACCCAGTTTTATAATAGCTATACTGGTTACACAGACAAAGGAGAAACATCATATATACTCAACATTCACTCACATACATTCAACATTCATGCTCACTCTTATGGAGCAGAGCTGGTTTGACTCTGCTCCATAAGAGGGAGTGCTCAGGAGCAATTGTGTCTATCAACTTGGCCTTTTTCCCATTCCAGAAGACAGCCAGAGCTTCAGCAGAATTGCCTGACAAGGTAACAGGAAAATCCCTAAACCTCTTTATTGACCCCACTCCCCCACCCACTCCCACCCCACAGAGGTTTGAAGTACCAGGATGCTTCCAGACAGTGTCAAAATCTGTGTTTTCAATCAGGGCAAAAAAAATCCCAGGACCTGATAGCAGGTCTACGCACAGACCTGTCAGTCCTGAGATATGGTCCACCACCATCCTCACAGTCTTCTTTTGAAGCAGATCACAATGGAGGGTGGACAGAGAACATCCAGTGGAAGTTTTTTTTATATAAAAAATTCACTCCATTATGTACTAAATCGTATATGCACCCATGCTCATACCTGAATATAAACACAAGCAGATTTGCATGTGTGCATAAAAGGTCCAGCACATAATAGTGTGATCTTTTTAAAGTTTTTTTTAAAAAAACTACAGTCAGACCTTTCTCTTCCCCCAATTCTTAATTTAATCTCTGTTTAAGATTATAAAGTGTAAAAGAAAGAATTTCAGAGAGTTCCAATTGCTTTCCACTTGTGCTTCCCTTGTGTGTCCGTTTGACAGCCCAATCAGCTGATCAACTGTTTCAGGCTTTTTCAAAGTGCACATGCACTGGAGCACAGGTGGAAGGGAAGGAAAGGAAAGCACATGACCGCAGAGATATACAATCATGCAAAGATGCACATTTTTAGGCATTTAACCCCCCTCCCCCAAATTAATCCAATACAGCAGGCATAGAACGACCCCATTTAGTGAGTCTAAATCTGACCAGACAATGATTGGTCCATGACATCTGTAAGGGCCATAGACGATTGAGGAACAAAGAAACAAATAATTTCTCATTTCAGTCCAAACTACAGCTCATCTTTCCTCCACTCTTGATTTTCTTCTTTATACTTCTACACTGCTGATGAAATCATCTCCTCTCCTGTAGCTCTGATTTTTATTTTGAAATTATGAGTTATAAAATTAGAAAATTCTTGGTTTGATTCATATGTAGATTCTTTCAGTCATGTTACATGGACATTTGGGGGGACCTGCTTAAATGCTAGACTAGGCACAGAGCAGAAAAAAATAAGACACCTCAAGTTAAGGGGATATTACTTGTCTTTAGTGTTATTAATATATCAATTATTTGTTCTTATTATGCCAATAACTGTCACATCATTTTTTCCTGGTTCTTCTGAATTAGTGTTTCTCAAACTCTGCTGCTCCAGATGTTTTGGACTTCAGCTCACACAATCCATAACAGCTGGTAAGTTGGCTAGGATTTCTGGGAGCTGAAGTCCAAAACACCTGTAGGAGCAGAGTTTGAGAAACACTGTTCTGAACTGATAACTAAATGAAAGGAGATTTCCTTTTCATACAGGCCCCATCTACAGTACATTGACCATTTAACACAGTTTCAAACCAGGATTGAAGAAAATTGAAGAAACTGGCTCTGCTGTACAGAGAATTACACAGGAAATTCTGGAACCAATGTGAGGTCTGAATGATGATTACACAGACCACAGAACACTGATGCACATTAAGGGCTATCTTTCATGCACGTTTGTGAGAGTTCATTCTCTAGTCACTGCAGTTTGAAGCTAGCTTGGAACTGCATTAAATGGTCAATGTAGATGAGGCCTCCACAGCTCCTAGACCTTGCAACTTCTTCCTAGATTGGCTTGGATGGTTCTCTCCTTAGCTGTTCTTTCTCCAACAAGGGCAATTTTTACTGTTTCAACAGGCTTCTATGAACTGACTGCAATAATGTTTTAATGATGTATTGTACTGCTTTTATATTCTGTCTTTTAATAAATTTTGAAACTGTTTTAACTATATGGTTGACTTCACTGCTTTTTAAAATAACTTGCATACATTTTTACTGATGTCTGTGTAAGTTTTGTTTAGCTATTCAGGTTTTAAGAAGCTAACCAAGGTCATCATTGGTTAGTTCTTGAATTAGAATCTGCCAGGGAACAATGGGTGCTGTAGGCTATCTTTCAGAGGAAGACAATGGAAAAACCCCTCTGAATATTCTTCACCCTGTGAAATTCTGTGGTTAGTATAAGTTGACCAGAAGTACATAGCAGCTGCCTTGAGTTGCATTATTGGGGAAAATGTTGATATGTAAATGGGTGATGATAATGATGATGATGATGATGATGATGAAGACCATTGAAGTTTTCTTGAAACCTTTATTTGAAATGCATGACAGTTACCTATTTGGAAAATTAAGATTGTTTTCATGGTTTTTCCCCCAGAGGCTGACCATAAAAGGTGTCTCCTTTTTGTTTCTCTTATTTTTTCCCCCCAGCCTTCGGCAAAAGAAAGCCAATCTTCCACAGAGACATTGGACTGGACCAGCAAATCTAATAAAATGCAAGCCATGTCCATTGATGCATGCCAATTCTGTCTGTGGCTCTGATGGACATACTTACACAAGCAAGGTAATTATTTTAAACCTTTGTTTTTACTAATTTGAGTTGAAATGAATTATCACAATCAAGTCATTTGATGGAGCATTGTCGGTAACAGGTCCTGTTCTTCTAGTGGGGTAAAGCGTTTATACTTTCAAGAGATATGTCACTTGTGCAATTTTCATCAGGGCATCCTCAAAGTGGGAAAATGGAAGCAGGCTACATTTTGAAGCCTATTTGGTGATAAAGTAAAATAGTCAGACTGAGTGCACATGGAAACAATATGGAGACAATATGGAGCTTATATTTGAACTGTGCAGAGAAAGCAGTATGCATTGATTGGAGACACCTGTTATGCATATCTGTGACTTTATGCTACTCCATATTTCCTTTTATTTATGATGTAGCATGGCACATTAAAATGAACAGTGCTGCACTGCATTTATATCACTCATTGCATGGTTGTTAGAGAGCAAAATAGGCTGTGTGGGAAGTGTAACATTTGACTTTGTGATAGAAATAAAATCTAGATATATTTATTTATTTATTGAAAGATTTATATTTCAACCTATATCAAAAAAGAAGCCGTGTAGCTTGGTGTTGCATGTTCTTACACACTCCCATGATTAAAGCAGTAAAGAAATTTAACATTTAAGAGCAAATAATCCAGTGGATATTTTTAAAACAGGCAGCTTAATGCCTTAGGCATTGGCTCAGTAGAAGGAAATTGCTACTTTAGTCATGTTTAATTCAGGCATTGACATCTCACTTTGTAAGTAGAGCTAAAAATTTCTGTGCTTTGTTCTTTACCATGTCCTGTGTTGAATTACTCATTTATTTATGCATTCAGTTATTTAAATGTATAACCTTCCCTATTCACAAGGGCTGTGCTTGGCCACAATGCCTTATTACAAGAAACCTATGTACATAAAATGCAGAAGAAAAGGAAAGATCCTCAATATAGAAACCTTAAAAATAATTTTGACGTTACATCTGGAGGATATTAACATTCACAGTATGACAAATTTGGGAAGGGGGACAGCATTCCACATGGAGGAAAGTTATTCTCAGCAGAGCACCTAAGTGTCCTTCTTTGCATGTAGAGCAGTGGTTCTTAACCTGTGAGTCCCCAGATGTTCTGGCCTTCAATTCCCAGAAAGCTGGTAAACTGGCAAGGATTTATGGGAGTTGTAGGCCAAAACACCTGGGGACTCACAGATTGAGACTACTGATGTAGAGGATCCCAGGTTTACTCTCTGGAACGTTCACAAATACGCTCACAGAGTGGAAGTCTGGGAAAGAACAGAGAGAAAGCCATAAGCTAACATGGGCTAGATTAACCAGTAGTCAAATCCAATATAATGCAGCATCCTTATGAGTGGAGCTACCTAAAATGTTCAGGATGTTCAAGAATATACATGCATTAGTCCAGGAGTGGGATCTCCATAACTTTCCAAATGTTTGGACAATGAGCAATTGTTAGAGTAGACTTGAATGCCAGAAACTTATCCTGAAATATGTCAGACTCAAAATATTTGCTTTGTAAAATGAACTGTGTTTCTGTTGGACATCAAAACCAATGTCTTAGGAGAGCTTTAAAGCCTTCCAAGTGTAATGCAGGATAATTCACACACACACACACATAGAGTGAAAGCATGTTACTCATGTGGTTTGAGCACTGTCAACATTTATGGGCTTGGCATTTATTACAGGTGCTTGACTTCACACAAGGTTTTATCCACCATGCAATCTAAATGGTTTAAACAACTGATGTGAAACTAAAGGTCAAGATGTTATGCACTAGCAAATAAAATGTTGATGATTTTAAGTAATTATTGGGTAATTCTAGTGCCTGTTCAAAATTTAAAAGAATGTTTTAGGCTTCAGTGAACAAAGACCTTAATGAGCATGACAAAAGTCAGTACAGCAGAAGTGGCATTTATGGATTATTGCTGTTTTGAATTTTAACACAGAAGATGAGATACATCTGACAGAATGGAACTAATTCTATAGTACCATAAACACAGCTTCCCCCTGAATCAGGAATATCAAAATTTATTTTCCTCTGATATTAAATTTAGCAGAATATCTTTCTTGATATATGAACTTTTGTGGTAACTCCTTCATTGAACTGTGGGAAGGATTTTTTTCAAAAAATTTGAAATGTAATGAGATTTGCTTTTATTTGACTTTTTTTAAAAAAAAAAAGTCTAGTGCCCAAAGTTTTAAGCCTTTATCTTAAAAAAGAAATGTTTGATTCATATTTGAGAGCAAATATTATACTATTTGCTCTCAACAGAATTTTGTGTCCCTCTCAGGCCTGAGACATAATCCTGTATGTGTAGTTATACAGGATTATGTACTACCCTATATACTTCTATATTAGTCTAGAAATTTTTGTCAAATAAATTGGGTCTATTTGTCCACAGGTCAATAGGGCATGGTCTCCAGATCTTTGATCATTAAAGAAGCACATTTTCCTTCCACTCTTTCTGCCCTGGTCCCACTTCGGGCCTTTCTGAACGCATGAGTGGGAAATGACAGTGGCAGCCAGCACAGTGGCCCCCCTGAGATAGTGTTGTTGGTGCTTCTCACCCTGCGAAATTATCCTTGACATATCCAAGGGTCATACCAAAATCGTGACCCCAAAACCTGTCGGTGTGCTCAGTCTTTGTGCTGGCTAAGTACAATGGTGTTCCCATTTTCTCCCTGGCTCTCATCTCCCCCACAGCAAGCAATGCACCTGGGAAATGGTGAGGAACTGAAGACCATCCACAGACCAAGCAAGGTGGCAGTGGCCAGAGCAGATTTGCCAAGCAAATCTTAATATTTCAACCCTAGCTGTTACAAAGAATTAAAAAAGAGGAGGGGGCACAAAAGAGGGTGAGATGCAAGTATAAAAGGAGAGACTGGGACAAGTATGGAGGGAGCAACTGAAAGGAAACAATGAGGGAGGGGTAATATTGCTAAAGAAACAAGGGAAAATGGAGGAGTAGAGGCAAAAGTGGGAGCAGGGAGGCAAAAGGAGGACGATAGCTGGAAATGTAGGTATGCAACAGAGATACTGGGCAGAGGTAAGTATGAATAAGTCAGAAGTTGGGACTAACCTGACTACCAAGGAGCCAAAGAAACCAGGGTGCTGCCCAGAGCCAACTCTCCCCTTCAGACTAGTGAATCCATTGCCAGATTCCCAATGCTATGGAATCATAGAAGTTGTAGTTTTGCGAGGCCTTTCTGCCAAGAAGGCTCATGCCTGACCAAGCCACCCCACTAGGATCTGCATGCATTACATCACACAATCCTAGACACTTGGGAAGTGTCCGACATGTGATCCAATACAAAAGCCAGCATAGTGATCATTCTTGCTGTGTAATAATCTTGTTGTGTATTATTATTATTATTATTATTATTTTATTTCTTACCCGCCTCTCCCTGCAGCTCAAGGCAAGTTGCAACACAATTAAAAAACAGGAACATTGCAAAAATTCAACAACTATACATATTTCTATAGAAGATGCAACCAATGAGATGACATCTTATGCACCATGTATGAGTTCATAATTTAAAGGAGCTATCCAAGGTTCTGAATCCTGTCCATGTATTGCTTCCGCCCCCCGATCACTGCTTTAAAGTTTAAACTATAATCTATAGCAGATTTACTGGCCAAGAAGTGGAACCATGAGCTGACATTGTCCATTGACATGGTTTCAATAGTGGCCCTTGGCATATATAACTCTCTTTTTCTTTTTCAACTTTCATTTCCCAATATCTGAGTGACATGATTATAAAACAAGGTCATCCAGAAAAAAGATAACTGATAAATCTGGCACAGAAATGTATGAAATAATCCAAAAGGTGCTAGAAGAAAGAGTTGTTTTGTTTTGTTTTTGAAAAAATTGGCTAGTGTCATTTAAGTTTTTAATCTTTTTTTCTAGGGCATTTTCCATTTGCAGTAGTCCACTTCAATGCTTGTATTATTAAGGGGGCAGTACTAAGTGCAAAGCTTACTATGCTCTTCAGTTTGTTCTGTTACTCTCTATCCTTCTTATTCTTGAAAGGAGAATGATCCTTCTTTTAAATTGTAATGCTGCTGCATTAAATGATAGAGTACGTTTATGATAACCAAAACTACTGTCAGATGAGTATCAGATTTCCTGTTATTTTAGCTGCACAGAGCAGGACAACCTTTTATAATAAATGGCCACTATGGACAAGGATCTTTATGGTTCCCACTGGCTGCCTGAATGATTGCTTTGAACAAGATCACAACAGCCACTCCAATGACTCTTTCCAATTTCCACAAAGCTTGAATCTCACCAGCTTCAGTCCTGAAAGATGTAGGACAAGTGAGACAACCATATTTCCAAGTGACTTTATTCTTTCATGCTTTATACTTACAATACCTGGATGACTGTAAGCAACCCAAATGTTAACAGTGATGTCTGAATTTCCACATATGTTTCTTGGTTCTTCTCAGTCCATGATAGATGACTGTACCATTTTTGTTGCTGGTGGTGTTGTTTCTGCAGATTAACACCAACGATAACATTCTGACTTGTGCATTCACTGGCATTTGATTATTATATTGCAAATGCTTTCACCATAAAGACATAGAGCCCTGTGGTTCAATATTTGCATAATCTATAGTAACCAAAACACGATTCTAGTTTCAAGAGTTAGCTTTGTTTGACAATAATTTTATATCAGAATATTTATAATAATTTTATATAATGTTCCATTCAGGCAGTCTGGCATAAATGTTAATTGTAGAATTTGATTATTAATATGTTATTCATAACTACAGTAGTAAAACAAAGGCTATATGAGTGGGGGAGCAAATGTTCACTTTTTCTTGCCAGACTTTTATGTTTTCTTGATGGCACCCAAGGTAACTTTCCCAATTATCAAAGGTTACTAGAAAGAAAGGCACTTCTCATAATTATAAACTCTGTATTAACAGAAAGCCATTATTTTAAGGTTCCTGAGTCTACTAAAGTCAGTAGGGCTTACCAGAAAATTATATATCAATG